ATCCAAACCACTATGAAGCAATATTTTTCTTAAACATGTCCTCTGAGTCCAGCTCTAGGCCTTCAACGGCCTATCAGAGTACATACCCCTTGGTCGCGCCTCCACAAAACCTCCTCGGAGGGATGCGCCGCCCCTCGGAGCAGCTAGAAGCATTCTTTCTCACGAAAGCAATGGTTCTGGCCTTCCTAGTGCCTCTTCTAGTTCACGAGGTTAAATATAATATTAAGTTTTTTTTTTTTTTAACAATACCTGGAGTATATGCTACACCACACTTTTCAAGATTCACCAGCCTTATCTCCATGTAGCTCCAGTATTATTTATGGACTGGAAGTGTTTTCTGGTCATGATGTTGTTGTTTCCGACACCACTTGTGTTGGACAGCAACAGCAACAACAACCCCAGCCCCCAGTACTCAACCAAGACCTTTGAAGAACAACACCTGGAGTATATGCTACATTCATACTCAGTTTAAGGAAGCTTCCCCTGTGTTATCTCCTTGCAGTTCAGTTTTATTTACAGACCAGAAGAGTTTTCCATTAATGTTGTTGTTGTTTCTGACACTTGTGGTGTTGGACAGGAGCAACAACAACCAAATAATCCAGCCAGGATGATGCTAATGTGCTCAGTGTCATTCCCAGTAACCCCCTAGCTGATGSTTGAATTTTGCCCCAGCTGGATCCATCCCCAGTTCTCAAWGACCAGAAGCAGTATTTTCTTGTCACAGCAATGWTGTTGWTCCTGACATCAGTGTTGGAAAACAACAACAGCAACCCTGCCCCCAGTATTCAACCAAGACCTATCCTTTGYAGAACAACACCTGGAGTATATGCTACATACTCAGTTTTAAAGAAGATTTCCCAGCCTCTCCATGCATTTCTGCCAGACCAGAAAATGATTCCAGTCACAATGTTGTTGTTTCCAACATTTGTGCCAGATAGTGACAACAACACCCTAGCTTCCATTACATGTCACAGCAACCCAACCAAGCTAATGATACTGATGTGATCAGTGTCATTTCTCCCCATTCCCCCAGCTGATAGCAGCCTGCCACAGCTAGATCCATCACCTGTTCAACGTTGTTGTGTCCAGCATCCATGTCAGACAACAACAACAACAACAACAACAACAACAACAACAACAACAACAACAACAACAACAACAACAACAACAACAACAACAACAACAACAACAACAACAATAACAATAACAACAACAACAACAACAACAACAACAACAACAATAACAATAACAATAACAATAACAATAACAACAACCCATACCCCAGTATCCAACCCTGCAGTGATTTGTACTCATTCCCAGTTCTTTTTTCAGACCAAAAGCAGTATCTTCTAGTCCCAGTGTTATTGTTTCCAGCACTTGTGTTGGATAGCAACAACACCCACCCAAACCCTATTCTAGATCTTTTCAATCTATCCCCAGGCCTCTTGTCTGTAACCTCTTCTCCGAGAAGGGGTTTCACATACAGTTGCTCCTGCAGCAATGCCGCCACCATTGGCATTTGTACCTTCAAAAAAYGTCTTTATCACCAACACCATTACCTATATGTGGGCCCAATACACCAAGACAAAGTCAGTTKGATAGTGTTCTTTTCTTTTTGGTTTTCTTTTTCTTTTGGGTTGTATTTTTTTTACTGCTCCACCACCTGTTGGACGGTGCCTGTGTACAGTGGGGGGCACCTTGCCTCAATTAGCTTGGAACTGCTGTGCTTGGCAGCTGTGTGGTGTTTCCTTGTTCACTGTGTGCACTACTTTGCCTTTTTGGCTTGACAGTGCACTTTGATATAATCATGACATGGCTCTCATCCATCCTAACTTTAACCAAATACTTCTGCTAGTGGTCCTTACTACTGGAGTGCAGATAATTTGAGCTCACACAARACAACTCATCTGCTATCCCTTATGTTGTTCCAAGTTTTACACAGATCCCAAAGAATAGAATTTCATAATGGATGAATAGACGGAGCCTGAATTGCTGATTACATCAATTAAATAACCAGCAAAATCAAGACATCATCTACACCATATCTAACAAAAAAGGAAATYGACCAGCRGAAGAGGAAACTTGTCAAAAACAGAAAGAAAGATTTTCATATTTTTTGAAACACACTAATCTTTGCTGGGATTCTTCCTCATGCCAACAACCCAGTACTTTCTGTAATGCTGCTGTTTCTAATGTTTGTGTATGACACCAATACTCCAAGCCCCAAACATGAGTTGTTCAACCAAGCTCTCATCCATCAGCTGCTCAAGACCTGTTTCCTAAAGAATAACTCCTGGAATATCTACTCCATAGTTGGTTTGAAGTGTCAGCAGTTTCTCCAAGTACCAGTTCCCTTTTCTGGTATGACGTTGTCTACAACATTTGTATTGGACAACACCAGCCTGAATCCACGCCCCTTCCTGGTGTTGGTGTTGGTAGCCCTAKTGCTCCAGACCTGTCTCCTGAAAAACATCACATGAAATATATGCTCAATGTTCAGTGTGAAGTTCCTCCAGCATTTTCTCCAAGCACAAGTTCTTTCTGATATGATCCACTTATTTCTGACAGTTGTGTYAGACAACAGCAACCAAAGCCCTGATCAGGGTTGGGTCGACTCACTGTWACAGTTATAGTAACTTGGTCTCCAACAGTCAGTTTGTACTGCCGGCCAATCACTGCTTTTTAAGTTCAGTTACCTACACTGATTTAATTCTGCTACGAGATGGTRCGTACTCTACATTAATGATAACGATACTGTTTATTCAACGTAGAATGTAGTGTAGTCCTATGGAGAACGTGATCTATTGCTGTGTCTATCGGTAGCCACATAGAAAGTCTATCGATGCCAACTGCATGCCTTCGAAGCRAAAAGTTCATATGTTTGAAGAATCCACTTTGAAGTGTGCAATGGAAGATGCTTCCAAAAGAAAAAAATTACTTCTTCCCTTCAGTCGTTGCCTTAAAACTTGATTCTCGTTGAGGATGATAAAAGAAACAGTCTTTTCGAACACACTCGGCTCCAAATTGGCAAACTCGACGTTTCATCTTCTTGAGTTTCTTCTTGTTGATAGCATGCCCCCCACCCCATTTTAAAACGGAATCTGCAGCTTTTCCAGTTCCGCCAAGATTTTTTTTCGATTCGTATTCTTTATCGACGATCTCGCATTTGTTGCGGTAATCACCAGAAACTTTTTCAACACTATTCCCCGATATCGCTGCTTTCGCCGAAGATACAATTTTGTTTTTGATACCGTTGGCGGTAAATACTAATTCTTTCGCAAGCACGGTGACTCCTTCCTCCACGCAAAGGGGACAGCGGACTTTCAATTCCATTCCAGGAGTTTTATCCGGTTTCAGTGACATGCACTTTTCACACATCAATACTGGTACACCACACGTTAAACATTTTTTTTTTCCGACGTAGCGATCCCAGGAGTCACCGCATACGCAGCACTTGGCGGTGAGAGGTGAGCCTTCAGTCTTCTTTTCGTGCATTTTCCGCTGTCTTCTTTCTACTTTCCGGAGAATTCCTCCATCTCCATGTGGGTTGTCGACGCCAACAGCCTCGCGTTTGTCGAAGACAAAATTTTTCCCACGCCAGAATCCACCGTCTTTAAATTGCTTTAAATACCGCTCGATACCTCCCTTTAGTTGGTATACCCCTTTAACTTTGTCCTTCATTTCTGATCGCAAGTATGCGCTGGCTCGTTCGCAACGGATTCCACCAGTACAGTACATCAAGACGGTCTTGTTCCCTAGTTTTTCTTGGGTCGTAGGTTTGGCAAGCCAGGATTTGAAATCGGTAGATTTGCGCATTTTTGGATCGATGTATTCTGCACCGCCATTTGTACCTGAAGAAGAACAGCCTCGTGAGTCTATTTTTTCAGTGGGTCCCTCCTTTTGGCGCTGCTGTCCGTCGAACCGGCCTAAAATAGTTTCGTAATTGTTCCGAACATCGATAACAACTGTGTTGTCTTTTTGCAGCATTTCGTGGAAAGAACTAGCATCCAAGTGTATTCCACCACCGCTAACTTCCGATTCACTGTTCGAGTTGTTTCCATATTTTTTCACTAACTTGTCACTATCAAGTGGTGCGTCCGTCTCACCGATGTCATAAAAAACCAATTCCTGGACAGGGAAAATTTTGAATTCCTTAAATTGTCGGTCAGCAGGTAAATCGTCTGTTACGCGATTATTGTGGAGGTTAAACGAACCTAAAGGTTAGTCTCCATCGTGCAAGCACCAATAATCAGTTTCGTTCAACACAGATACGTACCAAGGTATTTGAAATCTGTATGTGAAAAAACCCTCGGGTCTAAGGATGGAAAGGCATTCATTGGTGAATTTCAAGGATAACCGATAAAGATCACAATAGTTTTTAATTCAAAACAGATACTTACCAAATCGACGGAGATCTTCCGCAAAGTGACGTAAAGCAGCTTTCGCGGTACATTCAGTGGTATCGACAGCAGATATGGTCGCATTCACACCTTCTGTGGCGACTCGGATACGTCCGCCTAAATTCCGACGATGAGCAATGGTAGACAAGTACGTAATTAGTAGCTGGAGTTGTCGACGATCCCACTTTTTGTTCCGTTCGTTGTTAGTGACGTCACTACTGCCATCATTTGTTGTGTACTGATAAAAAAGAACAAGAGACGATCTAGGATTATCCACGATCAAGTCTTCTTCGTTTGCTTTCATTTGTCTGTTTTCTTTCTGGCAGTTCTTATTTGTAATGAATTGACCAGTATTTGTGTAGCTAATTGATTTAATAAGAATCGCATTCGGAAACCACTTTCCGAGAGTTCGACATTCTCCTTCGTCATTTGCAATTTTCTTGTCGTTGTTCACTTTGCTTTTTTCACCTTGCGATGCGAGTTCCATCGGTGGCTCTTCCGGGATATCGATGGGACTATATGTTTCCATACATTCAACACGAATTCGCTCTTCTTCCCCTTCGACATCCTCTTGATTATTATCATGACCATTAGTTTGGAGACTCTTGACTTCCATTTTATTTTTCTTCTGCAGATTTTTTCTATCTTTCCGTTCTTTCTTACTCAATCGTCGCCGTTTGTTCATCTTGGTATCATTTGTTTCATCATCACCATTTGTCAATTTCAATTCCGTTTTTCGTACCTGCTGTGGGCGGATACGTCGATCAACGTCGTCATCGTCGTAAATTTCCATGTCTATAGAAAATTGTTTCTTTCCAGTCCGAAGGTTCTTTGTCGATACAGTAGTTATTCACCGTTTGTCGATCCCACAACGTTTTTCCATCCGAGGAGTAGTACAGAATAATATTTCGAGACTGACTTCAGACACTGTACGGTACCGTAGTAGTACGGTAGATACGTAATGTTGTCGAAATCAAAACAAACCTCGTAGGTGCGAGTACGAGTACGAGTACGAGTACATAGTTGTAGCTAGTAAAGTAAAATACAGTACTTAAGAGTTATTGTACCATACCTCCCAGTATGGTAAGAACGTACCGGTAGAGTAAGTCAAGTAAAGGATGACTGGTTCTGGCATGAGCAGCAGCACACTGAATTCCAAGATTCCAACCAAAACCAGAGAACGTTGTGTCAAGTTTTTGGTGGTTACAAAACGTTCGGATGAAGAAATCAAGAAGAAAAAATCAAGGTGACAGCTRCGTACGTACCGCGAGAAGTAAAATTGTCAAAGGGGGTAGAGTCCTGTCGCTCATTGGGCGATTCCCGTTAATCTAGATGGTCTACTTTTCGACGGACAGACGGACCAAAAATAGACCATCTAGTCCAACTTTTTAGACTTTCTGTCAACGCAGGAGCCTGCGCTGACAAAAAGTCTACGTGTTGAATCAATTGAATCGCTTAAACTGATCTAACACACTGCTTTGTTTATCCAACTTGACCATGGGATTACTCACAGAACACATGGTTTCCAACTGGAGACACCTCCCTCCCTGCATGGAAGTATCCAGCAGCAAGATCCTCAAGTTCATGTGGCTTGTCGGTCGATGACGCCGGCGGCGTCTTCATGAAGACTGTCAAGATCTGGTTATGCCCAATGGTACTGCATTGGTAGTTGTACAAGTTGATCATTAAGTGAATGATCACCTTCCTCTCCCCAAAGTCCTCCAATCTAAGCCTGTCCTTCATCCTTGTTGGGAACTGTCCTTGGACCACGTGCCAGGGCAATTGAAGACTCCAATCCAAATCCTACCATCCGGTGCAAAGACAAACACCCCATTCACGTAAGTATTTGCCTTCCATCCGTTGTAAAAGATCTCTTGTTTAAGCCAGTCCTCTGAGGTCTGGATCTCTGTCTTGAGCCCATCCGCTGCTGCCCACATGCGTTGTTCTCCAAGTCTTGGATATTTTGCTCCAATTGCACTAACATACTCATTGATTTCTTGCACACTTGGCAGACTGACCATGGCAAGTGGATGTTTGTGAAGCACTGAAAGAAGAATCCTCATGGAAAACTTGAGCCATTTGTACATCACTGTGGATGTAAGACCAAACGCCATTGCTATTCCTCTTGCAACTGACCCTCTAGTCCTGTACCAGAAGAGCACTAGCCCAAGACAACAAGTCGCGTCAGCCTCTCTTGGCTTTCCTTTCTTTTTTCCACTCCTAGTGGGGGGAGGAAGGAGAACAATCTCATTGTTTTTGATTGAGTATCTATTGAAAGCCGGACCAAATAGCTCAAGGAGATCCCTGAAGACCCTGTGGTCTACACCACAGCAGTTGAGAAGCACTTGGTCACAACCAGACTGGAAGAGGAACAGGAATGGGGAGTCTGCATATCTCCTAATTGCAATCCTAGGCGTTCTTCTGTCCTTCCTGCGTCTCTCCTCCGGGGTCATCTGTTTTTCTTCCCATTCCTCTACCAAGCGTCCTCTACGCTTGATTGCCCAGTATATGCAAAGTGTCTCAATGACTCCCATCGTGTCTCTTTTGTTTGCTGGGAGGCAACTACTGTGTTTTGTTTAGGATACGGTGGAGTTTATGAATACTAGATTTATTTCATGTACTAGAAAATTTCGATACTATCGAAAATTTCATGTTTTAATTAGTACCACCAGCGGGCGCGGTTTCCAGTCTTACTAGTCTTTTCTGTTGAGATTCCAAATTCCTTCCATACCAGAAAGAGCGCCTAAAAAATGTCCGTTGGGCCCCTGTTTTTAATGATTCCCGTTAATCTAAATGTCTATTTTAGACTTCTAGACTTCTAGATTAACGGGAATCGCCCATTTTCTAATTTCCTCCCATTTTGAAAAAAAATCTTGAATAATATTTAACCTTGTGAACTAAGGTAGTAGAGGCACTATGGCCAGAACCAGAGCCTCTCTGGACCAGGGAGAAGAATGCTCCTAGTAGCTGCACCAAGRGGCGGCACCTCCCTCCAAGGAGGTTTTGTGGAGGCGTGAATTCTTCCCTACTACTGCTACCGGACAGTAGAAGGAACGAACCCTAATGAGGTGGAGACAGGTCTGGAGCCAGTACAAATTTTACATAGCTCTATTACTGGGGGAACAATACAGCTCGTTTGGTACATTTGGGTTCTCAACTTCTACTGTACATGCGCRAGGGAGAAGGGAGAAAATGCAAWTTTTTATTTWAGTACAAATTTAGTCCCTTGTGTGTTAAATRCATGCAATAAACTGCCCAACCTCCAGTGCAAATTTAATTGTRGTGTAAAATAGCAACTAAACATCAGATTATAATTTTCATATCGAATGTTTTCAAACACACAAAATTACACTTTGGTTCTGAGAATTATCACCTAGAATCCCTACTGGTTCCTACGTAGTTCCTACTTGACCAGCACCTTCTGGCATCCGAACCCACCATGGTGGTGACATCCCCTTCCTCAGGGGAAAATCCTCCTCCTTGGCTCCATTCAACAAGCAACCAAGCAATCTACTAACCAAGACTATTCCAAGTATATYGACCTCCYCCAGCTGGCTGCAGTTTGCCCCAGCTGGATCCATCTCCAGTTCTCAAAGACCGGAAACACCAGTGTTTTCCGGTCACGATTGTTGGTGCTTCCGGCATTCGTGCCAGAAAGCAACAACACCAACCCCAGCCCCCAGTATTCAACCAAGACTGAGTGAAGAACAAAGCCTGGAGTATATGCTACATAATACTCAGTTTTAAAGAAGACTCCCCAGCATCTCCATCTCCATGCAGTTCCTGTATTTTCCGGACCGGAAGAAGATTCCGGTCACGACGTTGTTGTTGTTGTTTCCAGCATCTGTGCCAGACAGCAGCACCAACATCCCCAGCCCCCAGTATTCAACCAAGACCAATCTGAAGAACAACGCCTGGAGTATTTGCTACACCACATACTCACATACTCAGTTTTACAGAAGATTCCCCAGCATCTCCATGCAGTTCCAGTACCGGAAGAAGCTTCTGGACACGATGTTGTTGTTGTTGTTTCTGGCATCCATGCCGGACACCAACAACACCAAACCCAGGCCCAGTATTCAATCCTATTGAGGAATCCAGCCTGGAGTATATGCTACACACATACTCTACAGAAGATTCCCCAGCATCTCTATGCAGTTCCAGTATTTTACGGACCSGAAGACGATTCAAGTCAGGTTGTTGTTGTTTCGGACATTCGTGTCGGAATGCAACAACACCAACCCCACCCCCCAGTAGTCAACCAAGACCTAGTGAAGACCAATGCCTGGAGTATATGCTACATTATACTCAATTTAACAAAGATTCCTCAGCATCTCCAAGCAGTTCCAGTATTTTACGGACCGGAACCAGTGTTTTCYGGTCACATTGTTGTTGTTGGTTCCAACATTTGTGCCGGAATGCAACAACACCAACCCCAGCCCCCASTATTCAMCCAAGACCTAGTGAAGAACAATGCCTGGCATCTATGCTAAATCATACTCAGCAGTTTTCAAGAAGATTCCCCAGCATCTCCATGCAGTTCCATTTCCAGTGTTTTACAGACTTGAAGAAGATTCCGGTCACGACGTTGTTGTTGTTGTTGTTGTTGTTGTTTCCAGCATCCCTGCCAGACAACAACAACACCAACCACAGCCCCAGTATTCAACTAAGACCTAGTGAAGAACAAAGCTTGGAGTATATGCTACATCATACTCAGTTGTAAAGGAGACTCCCCAGCATCCGTCTCCAAGCAGTTCCAGTATTTTACAGACCGGAACCAGTGTTTTCCGGTCATGTTGGTGTTGTTGTTTCTGGCACTTGTGTTTCCGGCACTTGTGTTTCCGGCACTTGTGTTGGCAAACAATAACACCAATCCCAGTTTTATTTCCATTCAGTTCCAGTATTTTTTGGACCGGAAGAAGCTTCTGGTCACGATGTTGTTGTTGTTGTTGTTTCCAGTATCCATCCCGGGCAGCAGCAACACCATCCCAAGCCCCCAGTATTCAACCAAGACRAATCCTTTGAAGAACAATGCCTGGAGTACATGCTAGATCATACTCAGTTTTAAAGAAGACTCCCCAGCATCTCCATCTCCAAGCAGTTCCAGTATTTTACGGACCGGAAGAGTTTTCTGGTCAGGTTGTTGTTGGTTCTGACATTTGTGCTGGAACGCAACAACACCAACCCTAGTTTCTCCAGCTGAGTGCTTTGCCTCAGCTGGATCCATCCCCAGTTCTCAACGACCAGAAGCCCCAGTGCTTCCGGTCACRATTGTTGCTGTTCCTGTCTTATGGCAAAAGAAGTGTGACGTTTCCTTTTTCTTTTTTTTTTTTTTTTWWAAGTGTCCTCGACCACTGTGGTGTAGACTTGCCTTAATTGGCTTGGCACCAGTATGCGTGGCACACATTTCCTTGATCACTGCATCTGGGCTGGCCTAAGGGTTGAYGATTGAGGCCCCCCAACCTACGGGCTTGGTAGTGCCCTCTGAAATGATAATGGCGTAGTTCTCATCCATCCAAACTGTGAACCAACTGGTTTTATGTCCTCTGAGTCCAGTGACCTGCCTTAATTGGCTTGTCAGAGTGCATACACCTTGGTCGCGCCTCCACAAAACCTCCTCGGAGGGAGGCRCTGCCCCTYGGAGMMGCTAGAAGCATTCTTTCTAACAAAAGCTATGGTTCTGGCCATCTAAGAAGTGCCTCTTCTAGTTCACGAGGTTAAATATAATTTWAAGATTTTTTTWAAAACATCAGATTAAGGCCTAGTTTTTGGTAGAATTTGTCTTAACATCTCAATGAACATATTGGGTTCAGTGAGTACCTGAGTCATAAAATTTTTATGCTGAAACTACTGGTCTAAGTAGGAGGTCATATTAG